GGGAAGCGCGGCTTTGCCGTGCCCATATGGAAAGACTGGGAAGCATTAAACAGGTTTGAATCCCAACAAATGCCATGTGAAAGCCATCACAGAAAAAGCTTTTTTATTTAACTGCCACCAGTTGGGATGTGCATTGCTCCTGACACAGCTTTAATCTGCTGTGGGTTTGGGGAGCCGGCCGGTGCGAGCTCCTGACACAGGCTGGGTGACTGAAGCCCTACAGGGCCTGAGCGCTGTTTTTTCTTTATCTGGCTTCCACTAAATATGAATGAGGGGCTTTGTGGTGTGTTAATGACTCATTTCCCATCTGGCTGCTTGGTTCAGCATTGGCAAAGGAAAGCTGACGGTACTGAGTCCAGCATCTGCCTTTGCATGCTTGGACCCTCTCACAGCGTATGTGCTGTGTGTGTGGCTGGGCTGTGGCTATAGCTCTGCTAACGGCAAGTGGTTAATGGGCAAAAATATGGGTCACGCAACAGAGATTTAATTTGTGAAATTATTTTTAATGTAGATGTAACAAATTCTGTTTTAATTCTAAAATAATCAAAATAATAGAAATTTCTGGATTTGGTTTGATTAGAGCATGAAAGAAACATTACATTTAAACTGTTTGAAGCTGTACAATTATATGTAAGCTATTTCCAGTTCTTTTCCTGAAGCCTGTGTGATTGCTCATAGGAGCAGACTCCCTGTCAGGTCTTGGGAACCTGCGCACGTTGGCCCACTCCTGCCAGCAAGCGTGGAGAGCTGCATTTTGCCCATGTGCAGCAAAAGCAAAAAAAGCCCCAGTGACAGCGATGGGACAGGTTGGGCTCTGCTGTTCTTTTAAACAGAATAAGCCCTCATTTCCATGGGCTAGGGCGAGTGTGGCTGCACCAGCTCCACCGCAGAGCCCAGGATGAGCATCTGGGTGTGAAACAGAGACACCGGGCGCTGCGGTGGTTGTGCTGCAGTTGGTGCCTGTTGTCACGGGGGGGTGCAGGAACCAGCTGTGGGTGGCGGTGGGGATGGGGAGGGGATGCTTGGCACCTTGGCTCATGCCACCGAAAACCCTTTGTGAGGATCTACTGCTTCACCACAAGTCAAGGGAGAGCTGCTGCCCCAGGAGGTTTGTTTTGCTCATGGTTACATCCAGCTGCTGGCCCTGCAAGGGCTTTGCAGGAGACCTAAACCATTTCCAAGTGGGCTGTGCTAAGCTGCAGGCTGCTGGCCTGATGTTGAACTCAAAGGTACCCCAAATATGATTGCACAACCTCTAGTCACATCTCCTAATCCAAAACATCTGCTGCAGGCTCTTGACCTGTGCATGGATGTGAGGGCTGGTGTCACTTTTCTCCTCAGACCTCATGTTCAAAGGCAGCGGGAAGGTGCAGGACGAATGGTCCGACAGTGATGTGGATCCCTTCCCCACTCCCAAAAATAGATCTCTGGGTGGTTTTGGAGCCGCAGAGCTCTGCAGAGCCCCTTGCCAGCTCTTATTCTTGCTTCGGGGGTTGGTCCCCTGCAGCTGTGGGCCCTGGTTACTCTGGCAAAACTCCCTGAGCGACTGATGGGAGTTTTCCGAACTAGCGCCAGCCCAGGGGTGTCAGCCCTACCTCCAGGGTGGGCTGAGGCCAACACCTGGGAAAATTCCTCCTCCCACAGCTCTGCTGGCAGTTTCACTGACGGGCAGCGGAGGAGTGCTGAGCCAGCTGCCTGGAAACAGCTGCTGCCCGCAGGCTGTCAGCTTGGGAGATCCACGTGAAACCCTGCAATTCCCTTTTTTCATACAGCCGTAGCTATTTCGCTTTTCTTTTGAAGGCATGTTTCTTCCCCAAACGTGCTGTTGTTAGGAAGCCAAGGGGTAGGTGGGTACAGCAATGACCAGCATGGTGGCCAGGCTCTGCTGCCAGTCTTTCATGGCAATCGCTCCATCGGCAATAGAGCCAGCATCCAAATTTGGCATCAAATACTAGAAGTCATGAGCTAGAAGGGGCTGTGGATGGGTCAGAGCCTTTTGCACCACTGAGAACTGGGATAATTTATTTTGCATAGATCCTTTTTTCCCTCACAGTCAAGAGACTTGAAATATTTTAAATAATATTTTACCACTAAGAAGGAGCTGATGGTTAACGTAAGCGAAGAGAGAAGGTCTTCGCTTGGTAATCCTACCAAGTGTGACCAAGGAAAGCTGCTTTAGCACAAGGCTTGGTACTTGCTGGCAAAGCACCCAGTGGCTTTGCTGCTGGCGGCCCTGCCCCGGCACGCAGGATGTCCCCGGTCACCTCTGGGGCAGTGGGCGGAGGACAAAGGGTCCCGCACACATGGGTTTCACTTTGCTTTACAATAAGAAGGAAGAGAAACTACCCGAGAGCAGGCGTAGGCTTCTGCAGGGAAGCGAGTGCGGACTGTAAGCCCCCCTGACGGCTTTTCCTTGGGGATGCCCTCCGCAAAGCTGAGCCTCCCTCGGGGCTGCACAAGGATGGATTTGCTTTAAAGAGGTAAAAATGCAGCTCCTTCATGCTAATTGCCTTCCCTGGCAGCAGTGCAAAGCAACGGGAACATCCTTGAGCGGGCTGGGAGCAGGGACCTTGCAGGCAGCACGGATGGGATTGTGTCCCACCACCCCAACCCTTCTCATCTGAATCCGCACATGACTTAATTCTCTTGTCCTTTGAAGGATGAAATAAGAAAAGTAAAAGGCCGTGTGTATGCTCTGCTGTGGTTTTACATGCTCAGAGTCTGTGGCATTACCCACGTGCCCAGCAAGATTATGGGCAGCACGCCCCGTGCACAGTGAGCGCTGCTCCTCCATGGCGGGGAGCTGCCTGGTGGGTTCACAAAAAAAGGCAGAAAAAAATAAAAGGGGAACCCAAGCCACAAGGTTTGTTTGAGTGGAAGCGTATAGCTCATAAAGCACGTCTCTGTTCCCAAGAGCTGCTTTACGTCAGTGGGACGTTATCTCAGACAACAGAATGATTTTTTTTTTCTTTTTTTTTTAATGCAACATTTCATGCTTTTCAAGCACAGGTGTGTTTAGGACCAAGAGACAGACTTAAAAAAATTAAGAAACATTATGTTGTGAGACCAGCTGGAGGCAGGCAAGGAAAAGCAAGCCGAATTTCACCTGGATGGCTGGGATTGGCTGAGGAAAGGGGTATTGGGGGGCTGCACGATGGGGACAGGATATGGCATGCCGAGGAGCAGGTCCTTTCCTGCCCAGCAATTCAGGCAGCATGCAGGAAAAAATAAAAATATTTTGCAACAGCTAAAAAAACAAGCTCCAAAATTGTTTCCAAACTGCACAAAGCTCTGTGCCTGTCCCTTGCCCCAGTGGCCAGTAAGGCATGGCAGTGCCCGGCTCTCCTTTGGGCGATGACCTGCCGTGGGTAGTGTGCGGGTGGTGAGCCTGGCAGCAGTTTGTGGTTTCGGCACCCCTGCCCAGACCCTGATGGTGCACTGTGCCCGTGGAGCAGGCTAAGTGTGACAGGGCCATGCAAGCCCAGGGCCAGGCAGGGAGAAGGGGGTGATACAGATTTCACGCACATGTTGCCCCGTGCTCCCTCGGCCCCAGCTGGCGATGCCAGCCAGGGGAGACAACACACATTTGCAGGCACTTATTACTGTTCTGCAGCCTTCTTTTATTTTTTTCCCCATGCTGTGAATTATATACATGTTTGCTGGAGGCCCACTGATGTCTGGAGGCAGCATCACCACAGGCAGCAGCTAACGCTGGCGGACATTTGCCTGCCCCAGCCCATCCAACATAGCCCTGTGCTTGCCTTCGGCTCATTAGTCATTTGAATGTTTTCTCCAAATGAACATGTTTTTTTCCCCACAATTATGGGTGAGGAGGCACCGGGGCTGCCGAGGGGCACCGATGGTCAGATGCCAAATCCTGGTCTCCAGGGTGGAGCAGT